GAAGGTATAAAGATTCAGGTTATGCAAGATGGATCAGTTGTGAGCTCCTCTGTATCATACAGAGCCTATAGTTACCAGCACTGTATTCTGCACTTAACAAACTTGTTAAGGGGGTAGACCTCACGTTAAGTTTTCTTACTACAATAACAACAAACAAAACATAACAAAACAAAAACCAATAAAAAGCATAGAGGCCCCGGGAAACTTTGAGAGGTGATGGGCGTGTTTATAACCAGGATTGTGGTCACGATTTTACAGGTGCAATGCGTAAGTTCAAACTCATCAAATTGCATACATTAAATATGTGCCATTTTTTGTACAGCAATTGCACCTCAACAGATCTGTCTAAAAAAAAAAAAAAGGAAAGAAAAGAAAAGGAAAGATTATCACATCTATGAACCTCATCATCGCTCATAAAATGGAAAGGGATCATTACTATAGACCTCAATGGCTCTACATGAGGCTCAAAGGATGTATTACAGTTAAAGCGTTTAGCACCGTAATTAACTGGCACTAATGCTCACACTAACACGGTTCCCTCAGTTAATTGGACGACTTCCCGGGAATCATAAAAATCCCAGATGACCTTTCAACTAATTCCTTTAGCCTTTTAGTTTAACCGCAGGAATTTGAGGAATCATTACTGCCATCTGGTGGCCACAGCCTGCATTTCTGCCCCTGCGGATTCCCACAGGAAGATGGTCTCCCCAGTCAAGAACACACTCCTTCGTCCTCTCTTGCTGTGTTGAGGTTTCAGGGCAGGCTCTGTTTTGGTTTGCTCAGCACTGGAAGGGAGGTTGTTTAAAAGTAGCATTCCAGGAACCTCTGCAAAGAGAGAGGACGGGCTACATGGGGTATTTTGTAACAAAACCTAATTGCACACTGATACAAGCCCATTTCCTACAGTCATACTAAACGCAAATTGCTCCTCCAACCACAGACTAGCCAGGACTCTGCACGATGTCAGGCAGCTCCTGACGCTGAGAGTGTGTGAAAAGCAAGAGAAACAGCCCCACATGTGAAGCTTGACAAGAGGAGGCGCTGCCCGAAGCAAAAGCATATGTTAGAAAAATTCTGCCGTAGGATGCTAGATCAGGAGGGGTTTTGCACTGTGAATTGGGAGGGGCGTTTGGAAAAGGCTTCATCCATTTATTCAAGTACTTATAGTGGGCACTGTACTGGCCCTGCCCTTATGTGGTGATGGAGGAAGGTGGGAGACATGGCCAAGGAGATGGGTGGATCTTGTCCTCTCAAAACAGAGATATGGAGATCGAGTGCCCGTGAACCCGGTGAAAACCTGGAAGAAAACCCCTATGTAGCCTGCTCTTCCTGGTTCTGGCTCCTGTCACGAAATCCTGGAATTGCCTAGGGACCACCCCACTAAGCAGGGAGAAGTGAGGTCAGGTCTCAGTTCCAGCCCCCAACACAGTGAGTGTGTTCACTCTGTCTTGTTAAATAAACGAATGAATGGAAAACATCTCCCTTCAACTTACTTGGGGTTCTTCCATATTCTTCTGCCTTTAACTCCTACTTGAGCCACTCCAGAACTAAGCCCCAGCAGGAATAGTACAACTCCCTGATACCTGCCCAGGAGGGCCTTGGTCCCTAATGCGGAGAGCAGGGTCAGGACATGGGCAGGCGGTGTGGACACAGGGAGCAGGTCTTGCCTTCCCCTGTGCTTAGGGCATGTCCATTGCCTTGTCTGAACTTCAGCAGCCCCCTCTGAAAAATGGGAAATGAGCACAATCTCTCAAGACAGCCTAGCTCTAATACAGAACAGGTCTGAGGTTCCTGTTCTGTGCACACACCTCAATGTCACTCACCTTCCTGTCAGAACTTACTCGTGGTCCCACAGCTCATGATTCATTGAAAGAGAAAATCCCAGCAAAGGGCTTGGCTCATCCCTTCCCAGAGCTGCAGCCAACCCTGCTGTCCAGGGGTGAGCAGGTAGGAGAGGGTGGCTGAGGCAGAGACTCTCACGCCCAGGGTCCCAGACTGAGCATCCGGATTTCAAGCTGGAAGCGAACAAATAAGTTTGTGATGGCATGAGAGAGCTGTGCATCCCCACACCCTGTACCATCTCCTACCCTCGGGATGGCTGGAACAAATCCACACCTGCTTGTGGCTACTGGTTCCAAAACAGGGACAAGCCTGGTAAGGATGCTCCAGTGGCCACGACGACCATGTACTGCAGGTTGTGACTCGGGGATGTTTCCACCTCCTCAGAGACCCTGGGAAATATAACTGTGCTTTGAGCATCATTGACACCAGGAGGATGGAGGCTGGGACATATTTCTTTCAAATGGAAAGTGGAAATGCAGAATATAATTATTTATATGACTTGCTTTCTTTGCATGTGAGGGATATGAAACTGCCTACAAGGAGGACAAAGATGAAACATGGGGGCCCCATAGAACCTGAATGTTGTAGACTGAATTATGCCCCCCAAATTCATATGCTGGAGCCTCAACCCCCAATGTGATTGTATTCTCAGAGATAACTAAAATTAAATCAGATCATAAAGGTGGAATCCTAAGATGGGTGGGCTTATAAGAAGAGGAAGAGAAAGAGAGTGATCCCTCTCCCTCCCACCCTTGCCTCCTCCCTCTCCAGGTATGGCACAGAGGAAAGGCCATGTGAGGGCACAGGGCATAGTGAGGTGGCTTTACCAAGGGGTGAAGAGAAGGCCACTGAACGGTCCCGGAGGGCCACACCCTGAGCTGCTCCCAGCCCTCGCTGTTCAGGGTCCTGCAGCTGTCTTGGGTAGGGGCTGGAGACAGAGGGGGATCCACCTGCAGCTTGTGGCAGGTGGGGTGCCCGGGTCTCCCTGCCTCTCCATGCAGAGTGAGTTTCAGGAAGCTGGTCTCTGGGATGCTCCCCCCGGCAGGTATGAGAGAGGATGGTAGAAGGGACAGGGGCGACCTCAGGCTCAACTTTATTCTCAGGTTCAGCTTCAGGCATTCCCAGTGACACAGACCCACTCTGTCTTCTGTGTTGTTGTTGCCAGGACAGAGATATGTTGGTGCCTGGGCTCGGGATCCTGGATCCTAGAGGTGACGGGGCCTCAAGGGAAGGGCCTGGGGCCTCTCCAGCATGTGGCTGGGGCACAGAGGTCCTGGGGATGAGAGACATGGGAAAAGACGATATGAGAAGGACAGGGGGAACGACAGCATCTGAAGATCCCCTCTTCAACGCAGTCTCCCTCAGCTATCCATAGGGAGCATTTGAACACTCCCTGCACCTCGTCCCACAAGAGCCCAACCAGGCAGGACTGGGGGCTCCTTGGGGTCAGAGTCTGCCTGTTCACCTCCCAGCCCCAGCCCCAGCCCCAGCACAGCACTGGGCTCACAGGTGGTGTCCAGTGAGTGTGGTTGAATGGACAAGTTGGTCTCCCCATGAGAGAAGTCAGAGAGCTGGTGGCAAGGAGCGGGACAGCATCGGCAAGGCAGTTAGGCGTCTGCACTGCCTGTGGGTAACACCTCCAGGGGGTGCAGGATGACTACGTGGCAGGTAGCAGCGCAGGAGACAAGACCTGGAGGCCCCTGAGGGCGCAGTGAAGTGCCATCTGTTACGTGAGCAAGGGGACCACAGCAGAAAGGTGCAAAGAGCTTTTCCCACTGCTCAGCCCGAGTTTGCCTCTGCATTGACCTTGGGCCCATGGCAGGGTCCTACAGCTGGGAATCTTCCTTCCTGTCCCCTGAGAGTGCAGGCCATGTCCACTCTGCTCACTGTGTCCCAAAGCACCCAACAGAGCCTCCAGCCCCATGGCTCCAGCCTGTTTCCTCCCTCATGGTCTCTACCAGGCATCTCAAGGGCATGAAATGGGTCCGGTGTATCTCCTCTTTGCCTCCAGCCCTAACACAGAACTGACATCCACTCTGTACCCAAGACCCTTCCTCATCTTTCACGGGCTGGACACCCACACAGAACCTCCAAGATCCCATATCTGGAAGAAATGACTGCCCCTCAGCTCTAGACTGGGCTCTCTCAACCTCAGCACTGTTGAACCTTGGAGCTGCATGATTTTTTGCAGTGTGAGCCATCCTGTGCATCGGAGGATGTTTAGAAACATCCTTAGTCTCAACCCACTAGATGCCAGACACACCCTCCTCCCAAGCCATGATGATCAAATGTGTCCAGACACTGACAAATTTCCCCTTTGTGGGGAGGCAGGCAAACACCCCTGTTCAAGAACCATAGGTCGAGACACCACAGTGGCTAACTTGGCCCAGGCCAGGAGGTGACCACTTCCCCAGAGCAAATGGAGAGCATGGACAGCAGGACTCCAGCACACCCACCTACGCCCCTCTCATGCTACGGAGTTCTCAGACACCTCTGCTGTGCCCCTCCCCATCAGGACAGGCCTCTAGCAAATTTGAGGCCTAATGGGCAAGACGCATGCCCCTGGTCCAGGCTCAGGTGCTGGAAAGAAGCACAGAGATGGGGGACAGGACACAGGGTCTGCTCCTGGTCTCTCCTCCCTGGGTGGGTCTCCCTGGTCTGTGGCCAGGGGGTGTGGCTGGCTCTGTGTAGAGAGGGCGTGAACTCCACAGCTGCAGTTCCTCTTCTGAGAATCACAAGGCCTTGTGCTCCTCCCCAGCTTCCCGTGGGTCCCCCGCAACCCTCCTCCACTGCTCTCCACTTCTTCACCCACAGGAAGCCCACACATCTTCCATCTCAAAGATGCTGCTGC